AAATATAAATTACAAAATTATCAAGCACGTTTGCTGTAATTTACGACATATCTGTTATATATGATCAATTATGCAAAAACATTAAACACAAATTTATTTTCTGTAATTCATAAGAAATATGAGCATTGAGAAGTATATAGAATAGTGATCAATAATTATTACTATAATTGATAAAAAATATAAATGATAAAATGACCAAGCATTTTTTTTCTGTAATTTATGGGAAATATAAATCACAAAATGATCAAGCAAATATTTTTTTACTCTAATTTATGAGAATATAATGACAACATGATCAAGCGAATTGTTATTTTCTGTAATTTGTGAGAAATATAAATTGATAATTTTTTCTATTATTTAACACATATAAAAACGTTAAGCAGTTCTTGTAATCTTTAGTTTGACTTTCATATTTTCTGAAGGTTCAGCACCTCATTTCTGACCATGGTTTGTGGGAAGAGAAGTCTACAAAGCGTCCAACAGAAAAAGAGCTAATAAAGTCTTTCATGTATGATTGTGTATATTCATCTGTACGGTGACTTTCATTAGCAGGCAAGGTTTCCGCTAGCAAGGTCAAGGTCATGTGTTGGATTGAGGAAGAATGCATGACTCACGGATGTTTTCGGTGTTTTCCTGCACGATGTCGGTCTTCAGCAGGTTGTCTGCGAGCACGAAGGCGCCCTGCTCGACGGTGTCCAGCAGCATGGTGGCGGCGCGCAGCTGATCTCGGCTCGAGAGCTCCATCCACGCCGTCCGCGCCTGCGGCTGCAGCAGGTTATTCACCGTCTCCACCATCGCCTGCGCCCAAAACAGAGAGACCGAGCCTCTTAACATCCTCAAGAAACACTACTGACTCAGAAAGCCCTTCAGAACGACGTCTGTCAGTGCAGTGCTACAAACAAAACAGCATTTCTGAGAAGATGCATCATGATGCACAAATCTATGCGTATGCATGCTTAGCGAATGATACCCAATGACAAGAAAAGATGTGAACCTTCATTACCATGAAATCACGTCCAAAGCATAACATACCAAACACACACATCGATCGAGCAAATATTTCTTCCCATAATGTATGAGAAATATAAATGACAAAATAATTAAGCAAACAGGTTTTTCTGTAATGATAAACATTAATGATTAATTTCCATTTTTTCATTTCTGAAAAATATAAATAACAAAATGATCAATTAGTAATGTTCCATAATTCATGAGAAATATAAATGACAAAATGATGAGGCAGACATTTAATATGTAATTTATGAGAAATATAAATGACAATAATCAACCAAATATTTTTTCAGGAATTTTATAAGGAAAATATAAATGAGAAAGAACAAGC